TATGTACAATTTTTTATGTTTTTACACATCCATTAAAAWWTTTTTTAAAAAGTTAATGTTATTTTCAAACCTAATAAATTGACCAGTATGGGAAAAAAACAGTATTTTCTTTTTYTGTCACCGAAAATAGAAAATAACATCAGTTTTGCTAGACTTTTCCAGTTTTGTTAAAAAACAAAGACTAGAGATATTCTTTAATTCAGGAAGAACGAATCCTACAAAATCCTACCACTGACATTACCCCACCATGCAAGGTCAGACTGACCTACWTCCAGCAGCCAGGCTGATTTATCAAAAATCATCTGTACAGTGAAGGTTAAAATGAATACATGTAAATACTTTATGGTTTTTACTATTCCCTCTTGCTTTGTAAATTCAATGTATTTATAATTAAAAATGATATACTAAAAGTATCATAAATCTTCATATCAAAATATGAAGTGAATCACTGACTAGTGACTAACAAGACATGAGAGTAAGCCTACTGGCAGGCTGGGTGACTTATCAGAGTTGTCTCAGAATTTGTCCATCCCCTTTTGCTGATTTTACATTATGGCTGTCACTTGATCCTGGGGTTGGTGGGAGAGAAGGGGATGTATATCATGCAAGTAGCCAGACTGCTCCAGTTTAAAGTCCAGTTGATTTGGACCTTAGTGTTCCAGCAGTGATTCATAGGTCCCTGGTCTTCTCTGAATTCCCAAAGGACTAATTTCTATTTCTTACCATTGCTGAGATTTTMATTTTTCTTTCTACCTTTGTTTCTCTTTCTTTGGATAACCTATTGATCAGAGAACATTGTGGCTATGGGGAATTAACACCCTTAACATTCTGCCCCATGTGCAAAAACCTATCTGTCTCAGACCTCAACCTCCTTTTCCATTGTCTAAAAGGAGAAACTAGTACTCCTGTCATTAATGTTCCAGTCCCACTTTCTACCATGTCTTCAGGGTTCTAATGCCATAATCTCCTCTCTTCTATCTCCAACCTCCCATTCTTCTTCCTTGGCATAACCACAGCCAATTTTCTTCATTGAAGAGAACCAGATGGAAACTCCCTAAAGCAACTGCCCTTTACCATATAATTGCATTCTTTCAAATAATGCACCTTTTTCTAGGGTATCTTCTCATTCCAACTTCAAACCCAACTAATCTGCTTTTGTTCCATTCTCCATGGAAATTACTCTGACCATAAAGATCACTGCCTTAGTCACTTTCCATCACTGTGATAAAACAGTTGAGAAAAACAACTGAAAAGCAGACAGACTTATTTTGGCTCATGATTTCAGTCCATGGTAGCCTGGCCCCATTGCTTTGGGTCTGCTGCAGCACAGTACACTATGGTGGGGAGCTTCCAATTGCTCACYTCACAGTTGGTGGGAAAAGAGAGAGGGAGAAATGGGATGGAGTCCTAATATCCCCTCAGGGGCACACCTCCACCGACCTAACTTCCTTCCACTTGGCCCCAAGTCCTAAAGATTCCACTGCCTCCCAATAGCTATACAGGATGACTGACAACCAAGCTGTTGGCTTTGGGGGACATTTAAGATCCAAACCATAACAATCACCACCAACCCATCTCTTTACTTGATCTCTCTGAAGCATTTTATGTTTTTAAAACTTGTTAAGGACTTTGGACTCTGTCCCTTCTCAGTTTTCTTTAATGACTCCTTGATTTCCACCTACCTATCCATCCTCATCAAAGATCAGTCTTTGGTTGATTCTAGGTGGTTTCTTCACACTCTGTATTTGTATTATAAAGCATCCACTTAGGGCCCCTGCACCTTCACCTCTGTCTTAGACCTGTCTCTGGCTTAGACCTGTCCATAAGTACTATCCAACTGATACTGTTCACTTTTCACTTGTTCCCCAAAATGGTTTAAAACCATTGTTTAAATCCTTTCCTTCCCAAAGTGCTGTTCTACTTAAATTTCCTATATTTTTTAAAAAAGGCATTATATATTAAGCCATTTGATCCAGAAACCTCGATATAGTGGATCCTGCCCTTTTCCTCACTCCGCAAGTTGGTTTCCACATCCTGCCATCTGACATGATCTTTCCCCATGGCCACAGTCAGACCCTCATTGGCGTCTCAAATGACCTTCTTGCGTAGTCCACTAATTCCCAACATGGTCTCTTCAACAGTAGCATGAGCCATCACCAGGGAACTTACTAGAAATGCAAATTCTCAGGTTGCCTCTGGCCCACTGAATCATAAACGCTAAGGCGGTGCCAAGTAATCTGTGCTTTAATACATTTTCTAGATAATTCTGAAGCTAAAGTTTAAACCACTGTTCCAGTCAACTCCCACTAATGCATTTTTTTACTTTTAACACATTTTGCAAACAAAACAAAAACCAAACCAAATGCAATCCTGTTTCTGCCTTGCTCAGAAGACTTTAGGGACATTTTTGACTGGAGGGTAAAATCTAAATTTCCTAATACAGCATAAAAAGCCCATCAGGATTTAGTTTCTGCCTGCCAGTTTTCAGAATGTAATGTACAATAARTCCTTTTAGTAGGAATGCATTGCCATGTGGTGATTAAGGAGCTGTAGAATCATACCACTTGGACTGAATCTCTACCTTACCACTTTACCTTTGGCCACCTGGCCTTGGATGAATCACTTAATCTCACTATGCCTCAGTACTATCATTCAAAAAAGGAGAATAGTGACTTCCATATCACAAGGTGGTTGTGCAGTTGGCACAATACCTGGCACTTAGTCTGGGCTCAGTGCTGGCTAGCTATTATTATTATTATTTTGATTATTTGAAAATAAAAAAAATTCTAGCATTAATCTGGAATGTAACAAGATCAGAAGAGGACATGAATGAATGCCCCACTTCTCTGGGAAATCAGAAAGGAGTAAAAATACCTAGACTCTCAAGAAAGAGGTTCTGTGGTTTTTAGGGGCATTTCTATTGTGAAGAAAGGTGTGATTCTGTAATCAAGAATCTAGGATGAATTAGGACATTTAACAATCTAGTTTGTGAGAGCTAGGTAAACTAACTGTGAAAGAAATAGGAACACTAAAAGAGCAAAGTACAAAGATGGGAATCATTTCGTGTTTGTTTCTGCAATAATAGCTAATAAAATTATGGTTGCCAAATGATTAAATGTGAGAGTCCTAGTGCGAAAGAGACTTGACCTTCATTTTCAGAAACACTAGTTATTTAAGAGCAAAGGCTTTGAGTAATGATAAGAATCAATTCTAACCTCCATCACAAATAAGTTATCAACTTTGGCAAACTCTTTCCTATCTCAATTTTGTAATCTGCAATATGGAGCTACATTATGAAAATTAGAGATATATATAATATATATATTATATATCCATATATATAATATTCATAGCTTAGTAAAGTGCCCAGTATGTGGGAAGTGCCCAATACATGAAATCTATTACTAGTGAAGTATATTAGCTCTAATATACATCATATATAAACAGGAGTCTAGAGACTCCTGTTCAATCAATGCCATTAATATTCTAATATTTGATTATAATTTATAAAATTAGGAAATATTGTAAAGATTGATCCAAATACAATCATGTCTCTATGCCCACATCATTTAGGGCTTACCAACTTTGAAGGATGTGTGACATGAATTTTATTCACATGTTCACTTACTCTTCTTGTCTATTACATGCTAGGAATACCATGATAGGCTCAGGGGAAAACACCAAGATCAATAAGGCATGATTCTTGACTTTTGAAGAATACAGGCTTGAGAAGGAAAAAAGAACTCAAAATACTACTGTATAAAATTTCTGCTTCAGTTGATTCATTTTCAAAACCATACTTATTTTCTCTATATTCTTTGAATTCATCTCAAAAGAAAAAAAATCCCTCTTTTTCTTTTGTTTTTGCTTTGCTTTTTGGTATTGGGAATTGGACCCTGGGGTTTGTTTTACCACAGAGCTACAACCTCAATCTTTTTTTTTTTTTGAGACAGGGTCTGGCTAAGTTGCCAGGGATGGCACTAAACTTGAAAATCCTCCTGCCTCAGCCTCTGAAGTAGCAGGCAATACAGGCTTGCACCACTGCACCTGTCTTGCTACTAGACTTATTTCTATCTGCCTAATTCTGCTTCCTTTCTTCATTGGTGATGATCCAAAAAAGTCCTCTCAAATAAATACTCTGTCCACAAATCTCAAAGTCTGCTTCTCAGGAAAAATAACCCAGATTCTAGAAATATCTTGTTCATTTATGGGTGTACATGTTTACCCTTTCTCCCCCCATCAAGCTCCAGGACCTGCCTGCTGGTCACTGGTGTATCTTCTAAATCATTGTCACAAACACTCACATATACATACATTCCTTAATGGAAAAATTGACCATGTTAATGAATGAAACTGCCACACTAAGTTTCTGAAACAGCAACAGAATTTGGGGTTGGTCCCATCTGTGAGAAAGATGAACATGATCTCAAGGGATCTCTTCCATTTTCAATGTTTTCAATCTCCTTAATATTGTCAACAGCCCTAAGTCCTGTTTCTGCTTTCCTACAGTTGGTATGACCATGATGTCAACAGTTCTACCATCCAGTTCCACACCAGGAAGTAGCCTCCATCCTTAACAGCCTAAGAGAAAATATGCATCCTCCCCATTTGGCTSGCCCTTCCCAGTGTAGGAATTACACAGGTCCTGTTGGAAGATGGGACGCATGTGCAATTGGGGCTTTCCCTAGAACACCTTACCCATCTACTGCACAGTRCAGGTGAGTGTGCGGGAAGCTCTATTCCAATTTTGCCTACATATTGAACACCTTTTAGCCATCCATATCTCACCAGCAAGTATTTACAATCTAAGCTATTTTAAATGAAGGTCCTCAGCCTCTTRGAGGGGCAGCCTCCTCCTTGGCTCCGCCCCTAAGGGAAGGGAGGACGCCACGACCTTTGTGTGTGCGCGGGGCGGCGGGGAGACAGACCTACAAGCCTCCTCTCTTCATAAGCTGGAGAGAGAGAGAGAGATGTTCCGCCTGGGGTTCCACCTTTCTCACCTGCCCACCAGCTGCTGCACTTTCCTAGGCCGCCACCGTCGGCACCAGGCAAGGGAGACCGCACTTCACTCCGCTGCAGCCCCGGATCCTGGCAACCTTCGCCCCGTGCGGAGCCTTGGCGCATGCGCAGTTCTGCGGCTGGCGCAGGACTGGTCCGTTCTCTTCTCCGCTCCAATGATAGCGGAGGCAGTTACCGGAAAGAACTGGGGCGCAGTTGGGCAAATTGTTGAAACTGAAAACTTAAACACATCAAATTGGAACAACACATCAAAAGGGTACAGAGTCSTCTTTTGAAGCGCACTTGACGAATATTTACTGGATGAACTGGATACTAGTTAGTCATTCTTGGCACTCKGTGCTACCTGACTTGACCAATCACACAGCGCCTGATTCTGTCGCTCAATACTAGACCCCGCCTCCCTGGACCTCTGCTTTGAAAATTAGGGGRAAAAAAAAAAAAGCGATCGCCAAAATTTCCCCGGATTGGCTGGAGAGCGGACATGCGCAGTGATACCTGGTTGCCGTCTTGGACGCTTCCGCCTTCAGTTCTTACGCAAGCCCCAGGACATGGGAAATGGATGCTCTTCACTAATTAATTTTCATGTCYTGTCTCCATTGTTGGTTCGAGGGCGAAACTTTTACTCTTCTGGATCATTCAAAAAATTATGGAGAAGTGTATCTTAATTAAAGTTTCTACGGTATTGTGAAAGCTACCATTTACTCTGCAGCCTTATCGAAATCTTCCTTATCGAAAATACTTTTCACCCCACGCTAGTAGTTTCCCGGCATTAATAAAACCACAGAAATACTATTTTACTTTCTTTTGATGACTTCAACTACACTTTAGTGTGGGTAACTGTGATTCGTCACCTGCTATTCATATTCGTGACGTCTCCAGCGTCTGAGCAGTTTGCCTCAGTTGCCATTTTTGATTTGGTCTTTATTGAAAGTCATGAGCCCACGAGCGGAGGCCATTTTTCTTTTGGGCTGATTCTTGCGTTATCCCGGCCCTTTACCGTGTTTTGCCGCCATCTTAAATCCTGGCTCTGGCTTCAGGAGAACARTGAAGCTTCCTCGATCATTTTGTGTTTGGGCGGTGGCGCGGGGAGAGCCTGGGAAAAAGGAAGCAGGTTTAAAAATTGAATTCCCCCCAGCTTCTGAAGTTTKGTTTGCGTAACTTGCTTCTTTTTTAGTGTAAGTTTCCCCAACCARGTACTACTCCGCCTGTGGCCCTGGATAGTAACAAAGCAAACAAAGCCCGAACCCAAACCCGCCACCATCATAGGTAAGAACGTGGAGCTTCTGTCACCCGAGGTGTTCCTTCATTTGAACTGAACTGTTTGCCCATCTTCTCTCCCCGTGTTTTTTTGCTTTGAGTTTTGAGTCTTTTCCGGAGCTTTCTCCCTGAGCTCGTACTTTGTTTTTTATTGTTTTCAAAGAGCTGCTAAGTTATGAAACATCACAGTACAGAAAGCCCAAGCTTTAAAGCGAAAATGTTCAGGAAAATTCTTCTTTTAGGACAAAATGGAGCTCAGTGCACAAGCTCGTCATTGGTATCAAATTATGTGGTCTGCATCCATATGTACAAATAGTGCTTTTCACGGATTATTTGGGGGGTTGACTTAATGTCATTAATTCGGTGCATTCATCGAGTACTTGTTTTAAGCCATAAAGATTCGGCAGTAAATAAATAAATTTTAAAAAGCCGGAAAAAAAAAAACACAAAACTATCTCATAGTCCTTAATCACCCTGACATCTACTAGGTTGGAACCAGGAACACAGTATTCAAGGAGTCTTAGCACTGCAGACTATACAAACAATTATTTGCTTTCACATTTCTCAGCCCCCTCCCCCCCTTTTTGGCCTGAACTTGTAATAAATCCYGTTGACACTTATTCTTGGGTCCTAGGTATAACCATATTTGTAAGTCAATTGACTGGTGTTAAAACTAGTATTCAAGTTATTGGGCCTTATTGCTCAAAGTGTGGTCCCCCTATGGGCAGCATCAGCAGAACCTGGGTGCTTGTTAGAATGAAGCTTCAGGCCCCACCCAGATAGTCTGAATCCGAATTTTCTAGAAGAAGTGCTCTTTAAAAGAATGCTGATTCAGRACATGGGGCTAAAGGTATAGACAGTGTATTTTCAACCTGTGTTTCTTAACCATATTAACAATGTGTTATTACTTGTTTTAAATGCAATGGATGTTAGGCATGTTTTCCTCTGATTTTAGTTCATTGACTTGATGTCATGATTCCGATTTAGCATTCCAAAAAGTTGAAAAGAGAATTTGTTAGTCTAGTATGCTTTTATGTTACCCATTTCTATCCAAAATAGAGCTTTTTCTTCAAGTTCTTTCATCCAGTTTACCACTTGTTTGCATTAATAAAAAGGTTATTACTGGCTGGGGATGTGGCTCAAGCGGTAGCGCACTGGCCTGGCATGCACTCGCCTGGCATGCGTTTGGCCGCGGTTCGATCCTCAGCACCACATACAAAGATGTTGTGTCCGCCGAAAGCTGAAAAATAAATATTAAAAAATTCTCTCTCTCTCTCTTTAAAAAAAAAAGGTTATCACTATGCTTTCTGCTTTCTCATATCCTGTGTACATATTTTTACCTATTAAAAGTTGAACTCAAAAGTGTGCATGTGGACAGCAATTCATTATTGACTTGGAAAACTTTGGGTCATGCTTTACCAAAGGTGTTTGTGACACTTTCCTTTTTTCTTTGTTCTCCTTTAATGAGAAATCCAAATCAGGAGTTCTCAACTTTGGCTGCATGTGTCAATCACCTGGGGAGCTTTTATCAGAGGTTAAGACTCACTGGATGGAATTAAGGAGCCAGTAAGGTATTTGAGAGAATAGCAAATGACATTCACGTTTCTCCTGTTTTCTGTTAGATTTTTTTTTCTTCTCTCATGGTTTTAATAAAAATGTTTACGGTTTTGGAGGCAGTGAAGAGTATTGAATTGAGAATGTGTGAACCACCTTCCYAATAACTGATCAACCTGTCATGTACTTGTTCTGAGTTCTAAACAGGTTGTCTAGCTTTTTTTTTCTTCCATCTATTAATTAGGACAAGAATAATGAAGGTTGTGAATAATGAAAAATAATGAAGTCTTGTGAATATTTCACATTTTAATGAATACGTATATTCTTAATGTGAGAAGTATTACAGTATGATATTCAGTACTTCCTATTTTCATTTATTTTGTATATTGTGAGTTGCAGTAGAGCAAGGTGGGCAAGGAATTGAACTCTAGATAGACTCCCTGAGTTCAAATTCTACCTCCTGTACTTACCAGCTATGTGGCTTTATGTAGATTACCTTCAGTGCCTCAGTTCCCTTGTTAACTTAGGGTTGATGTGAGGGTTAGATTATAGAAGAAAAATATTTAAAACTGTGCCTAGCACATAGCTACAATTATGTAAGTATTAACTCATTATTTTTAAATTATAATTAAATCTTTGGGGTTAAAGTTTGGATTATGTATGCAAATTTACTTTGGAAAGTATTGCAGTTTTATGACTTTTCAGGATATATACCTGTTTGAAAAAGAGAGTGACCTAAACATAGCAGACAGGGAAGAAACTTTTCTTTTTTTAATTAAAGAAACTTAAAAAGCTTTATTGAGATATAATTGTGATAGTGTATATATTTAAGGTGTGCAATTTGATGTTTTTACAAGTGAACACTAAGGAAACCATCACCACGATCAAGTTAACGAATGTAACCATCACCCTGCAAAATTTCCTCTGGATCTTTTGTAACCTGTCTGGCTGCTTTCCTCTGGGCAACCTCTGATCTGTTACTGTAGATAAGTTTCCATTTTCTAAGTTTTTGTCTAAAAGGAATCCTTCAGTTTATGTTTTTTGGGAGAGGAGGTCTAGCATCCTTCACTCATAATTATTTTAAGAACCATCTTTGTTGTATCAATAGCTCATTCTTTTTTTTTTTTTTTTTTTTTTTGGTACTAAGACTTGAACCCAGGGCACTTAACCACTGAACCACATCCCCAGCCCTTTAGGAGACAGGGTCTCCCTCGAGTTGCTTAGGACCTCACTAAGTTACTGAGGCTGGCTTTACTCTGGATCCTCCTGCCTCAGCTTCCTAAGCTGCAAGGATTGCATGTGTGCACCACCATGCCCGGCTCATTCCTTTTTAATCATTTAGTAGTATCTCATTGTGGGATATTCAGTAATTTGTTTACTGGTTGAGATCCCTTTACATTGTTTTTTTCACTATGCCCACTTTCACATTGCTTTGTTCTTCTCTGGCTTATTTGAATTAGGGGRAAAAAAAGTCTAATTATTTGGTGATCAAGCCTTTGAGATATGGTGAAACCAAAAGATGACTGTGGTGAAACATGTTTGTGTTTGGGACTTCACCTTTGCCATTGTGTAGTTTTTTAAATTCATCTTTTATGAGTGATCCATGTTATGGCTTTTTAAAAATGCATTATGTGGTCCTGTTTTAGTTCAGGGGATGAGCACTTCCTGCCAGGTTCTATCCCCAGAACTGATTGGGGTAGGGGGATTGGAGAGGAAGCACAATCCGTGTATTGACTTTTAGGTAGATTGTTATCTCTTGCTGTGTACATATGTAATCATTTTAAGCTGTATTAAATCTTTGAAGTCTGCTGTTTGTTTAATACTTTTTGGAGATTGAGAATGATAATCCATGCTCATTAGAAACCTACTAATTAGGTAGCAAAGTGGAGATTTATAAAGCCATGCCAGGAATGTCAAAAACTCCCCTTTGTCTATAGATAGAGAGTACCACTTATATTTTGAATTGATATAAGTACATTTCTAAAGTGTTTTTGCTTCCATTATAGAAAAGTAGGGACTTGTGTTTTTTTATAGTGTTGACATTTTGTGCTTGAATAAATCAGAGCCTGTTTAAAATTGGATTTGACTTATGTTAATTTTAGGGTAATATAAAATAGTTGTAATGTCACAGACATAAAAATTCACTTATGTCACTGTTTTGAGTTATTCTCTAGTTAGAAAAGATTGGATATTTCTACAATTAAAAAAGTATTTCTGAGTTGGGTGTGGTGGCACATGCCAATAATGCTTACTACTTGGGAGGCTGAGATAGGATGCCAGCCTTGGTAATTTAGTGAGACTGTCTCAAAATACAAATAAATAAATAAGGGCTGGGGGCATAGTTCAGTGATAGAGTGCTTGCCTAGCATTCATGAGAGGTCTTAGATTCAATATCCTGTACTGGGAAAAAAAAAGTTTATTGACATATATACAATACACTCTCTTGGTGTAACAGTTTTATGAATTTTGACTATTTCATTAAGTTGTTTAACCATCATTGAAATCAGATAAAAGAACAATTCTATCCCTCCCCCTACCAAATTCCCTCTTGCTACCCTTTGGAGTCATGCTCCTCCATCCTTCTACCCTTAGTACTCAATGATCTGATTTTTAAGATGATTGCATTGATGATTACTAGAAGTTTTTTTCCTTTGGTGAAGACAACTGGAAAACACTCATTGTCACAGTGGGTATTGGATTACAAAGTGGATTAATTATGCTTGTGCCCTCTGCGTTCATGATTCTGTTAGGCTGCTGAGCGCCCACTATGCATCAGGCACTGAGCCAAGTATACATATCTGATCTTGTATAATCCTCACAGGACCCATGAGGCAGAAATTATTATCCTATTTCATAGATAAGAAAACCAGAGACTGAGAGGAATTGAATAGAATGGGGTCACATGAAAAGGCATAACTTTAAGGGCTGTGTTTCACTAGAAACTGAGGACATGACAGCACCACACGTGAGTGCCTGTGTCTGCTTCTGATAAGATATTATCTGATAATTAGATGCTGCCTATTAGTGAACAGTGCCATGATGCAGGGCCTGCTGGACTGTGGCACAGCAGGAAGGGGAGGCCCAGATCATAGGTCACCTAACTGCTGTGAGGAAATAGGGAGACTCAAAGGCAGGGCTGTTCTGTGGAATTAATCTTTGTAGAGGATCTCAATATTTGACTTATATTTAATAACAAAAGAAAAAATTCTAATTTTTCATTGCTTGCATTATCTTCTTTTGATTGTTGGGAGGTTGTTTTGGTTTGTCTTTTTTACAAGAATACTTTGACATTCACCATTACATGAATAATAGGAAAAAGTAGTTCATTTTTACACTGAAGTTAGCTTTTCAAACTTTTAAGTGTCCAGTAAAACTTGGTCACTTGTCCTTTTTTTTGTTTTTGTTTTTTGGTCTGTTGTTAAAAAATGTGATTCCTTCCTTAATACTGGTGTATT